TTGTATTTTTATATTTTTGTAAATTTGTATTTTATATATTTGTAAATTGTATTTTTATATTTTTGTATTTATATATTTGTAACGTATATTTTTCACGTTAAGAATGTAAAATGTCTTGGCCAAAGATTTATTAGTGAATATTTATTTAACGATTTACGAAATTCGAAGAATAAAAAATATTTTTTATACTTTCAAAAATAAATGGGAAAAAAGTTTTCCACGACACAGTTGGAGGCGCCGGGTATCGATCCCGGTACCTCTCGCATGCTAAGCGAGCGCTCTACCATCTGAGCTACGCCCCCTGATGGAAGCTAAGTTATTAAGGTTTAAAAAAGAGTGCGTTTGTCTCTATATAAATATAAAAAATAATTTTGTATCAACAATTTTATTTTTAAAACAATTGTCCATCAATGATACCTATCCTGAATACAAAGGAGAAATGTTGACAATAAAATCTATTAAAGACATAATTATCATTATTACGCAACTTTAAATAAATCAAATTAAAAATAATTCTTAGAAATTTAATGAAAAAAAAAATCTTAGATAATACTATAGTAGACTGAGAAGATTAATTTTCGGAATGTTTGCTTATTTTTACACTTACACGCAAGTAAAACAAAAAACAAAAAATTTAACAATTAATACACATAATGACTATATGAAATGAGAAGACCAAGCGGAATGTGCATTATTGAGACCTCAGGAAAAGATAATGTATCTATATTTTCTTGAAGAAAGACAAAAAAGAAAGAGAAAGAAAGAGAAAAAAAAAGAACAAATAGTCGAGAATTAAATAAAAAAAAAAAAAAATAAAATTGAAAATGTTGTTGCCGTAATACTATACTGGTGTAATTTTCATACACGTGATTAATTTAAAATACAATTTGATCTATCCAACTGTATGTAAATAGGACAATTTATGAAGAATCCAGAATATAGTTAATTTAATTTAATAAACCATTAGATTGGCTTATTATTTTAAATTCCTAGTCTCGATTATAGATCATAATTTAAATTCTCGTATGTTCAGTTTTATTCAAATTGAATAAACGAGAATCTTTCTTATATAAATTTATAATCTGAAATAATTACAATTTGCCATGTATACATCCTCGATAGTTTTTTAATTCCCTGTACTTCACTTTATCCATGTCAGGTTTATTTTTTTAACTAGCTGCAATGATTATATTATGACAAATGTTATATAAATTTTTTAAAAATATATTGTTAATAATTATATTGCAACATCTTTACACTTCATGTAATTGCTCTTCATTTGTTTCTGAAACAATATTATAATATATATACATTTCTGCAATGGTTTTCAAATTTTCTTCATATCCTGCATATTCATTGTAAGAACCATTGACATGCAGTGTATGAAAACAAATGAGAATGCTCGTGAAACGACGGCACACGCACATCCTGTGGGAATCCAGAGGGTGTGCTGAGTGGTGTTTGTGCCACAGGCAAACATCCAACTCGAGGAGGTTGTCCATTCCGAAATCCACGGTTTCGATCGGTTTCGACATCGTCTTTTATCACATTTTACATTAATAATATTTCAGTTTCTACCTCATTTCTCGCCACGCCAGTCGTATTTGCAGACAATCCATCTCGAATTATTCAATCCAGCCCAATTATTTCGATACGTAACATCGTGGAAGAATTAACGTGGAATAGTGGGAATAGAAGCAGTTATATTTCATATTCGGAGAAAATCGATACAACGCGAAGACGCCGGAGAACCAAGGGGTAACTGTTTGCCGAGATTGTATCGTGTGCAAGGGGTAACCGGGTTACCAAATTGTTTAATTTAATAATTTAACGTAAATATCAAGTAATATTAAATATGTTACTAGGGTAGTAGAAGCGCGTGGTAGGTGAGTTTTACCCCGTTGTAACTTTACAATTTTCACCCCCGCGAGTTTTCCATCCCGCGCGCCAACAGTAAACGCCCGCGCGTTATCAAACTTTTTCCCTATGTTTGTTTACAAAACGTGGAATATTCGTATGGTTTGTCTCACCATGTTTTTTTCGTCTTAATGGCAATCTTAGATGAAACGAAAATAAGATGCGTGATCCTATCGCGTGTGTGTATGATTTTGATCGAATCGTAATCGTACGAGGATTTATGTAAGGAGATAGTAGTTATGCTAATCTGAGCATTAAGGACTTGCATTTTAAGAAACTACGAATGTTGAAATATTTTGATACCAATCTCATCTTTTTATAACATTGATTTTACGCTATTGGTTAATTGAACGTTTCAGTAGCATCTAATGTTATCTAATTTTTTTAATTAAATACTTATCATTAATTTATTATGAATTATTTGTTATTACAGTTGTTGAAATTTTGATGTTCCACAGTACATGCTTGTGATGACTGACGCGATCAATTTTAAGAAATATTCCGCTTCAAAAGAAAACAATTACCAAACGTTGCAGAATTACGATTATGAGATATTTCTACTTTATCACGTGGGAGAAGATTCGGAATATTATATAATTTTCGCCTAATGCCAGCTTCGGAAGCTACGCAAGCGTATCTAATTGCGAAATCCTTCACAACATAATGACAATTCGGTTGAAAACAAATATTTAGCCAGTGTACGGAGGCTATTCATTTCCCACGATAATTCCGGAAGCGTTTTCGCTTCGGGCACAATAGAAGATGACTTGTCAGCGATCGGAATAAATTCAGGATATCCGATGCTTAGCTATACGAAAAATCATCGTCGTGGCTATCGTAATGATTGACGTACAGGGGGATAAAATTCATGTAGTCGCGAAAAATCACGATTACGTTTTTCCATGGTTGCGCAACCATTAGTTTTCCGCGTGTGTGTCCTGCCTTTTTCAGTTGATACCTAGTATTCTCCGCAGAAATTTTCCAGGTATATAAGAGCTATTGTATACGTGTGTCGGCCAGAAGTTTAAAATGTGGCTGTACAGGTTCGTGCTTTACAGCCTCGTGTTTGTTTCCGCATGTGCTGACCAGGATGTGCAACTGGAGATTCCTCAGGGGATCCTGAAGGGATTGAAGACTGAAACTATTCTGCACAACAAGCCGTATTATAGTTTTAAGGGCATTCCCTATGCGAAACCGAATGTCGGCGCGGACAAATTTCGGGTAAGTGGAGATAATATACGTGGATATTCGTGCAACTTCTTGTAATGGATGTGCCTGCAGACATCCAGTAGCGTTTGGTTTCAACTTTAATTAACTTTATAACATTAATTTTAGAGATTCATCATTTAACGAAATAAAATTTAAATTCCTTTAAAATTAAAGAAATCTAAGAAGAATCTTTGTTCCATTTTCACTCCCTTATGATGTAATATTTTATTCAATGAGTAGTGAAATATTACAAACGATTGATGCTACGTTGAAATTTAACATTTATACCTACAGGTTCGAGATTTGTATTACATGTAATTTATGCATGATTACAATTTTGCAATCTATAATCTATTTATGCAACGATATTCATACTTAACTTTCGAATTTAAAACAAATATGTACATCCATATGTAAGTGTACTGAAACTGATGAGACATCTCTAATGTGAAACGTTAGAATTTGTAAAACATCTTTCAGTCACCGGAAGCAGCCGATCCGTGGGAAGGTGTATACGACGCGACAAAACATCGTTCTCCATGTCCGTTTTACTGCATGATGAAGAAGGGTCTGATCGGCGAAGAGGATTGTCTTTATCTGAACGTTTACACGCCAGTTCTGGACAAGGAAGCTGGTAAGGCTGTTATGGTATGGATGTTCCCTGGTGGCTGGAATGGTGGCATGAGCGACGACGCTCTGTTTGGACCAGATTTCCTGGTGGAGGACGACGTGGTGATTGTTACTTTCAACTTCAGGCTCGGGGCACTTGGTAAGTATAAGAAATGTTGTTGAAAATGGTTAACAGCTTCCTTCTTGTAATAAATCTGCAGTGTGGACGATACTTTGAAAACGATTAAAAACGATATTCAGAACTTATTGCCAGTTACTCTCTATTCTAGGATTTTTGAATACCCAGGATAAAAGCGCTCTTGGAAATGCTGGGATGAAAGATCAAGTTATGGCGTTGAAATGGGTGAAGGATAATATACATTTCTTTGGCGGTTGTCCGAACAGAGTTACTATTTTTGGCAGCAGCTCTGGCGGAGCTTCTGTTCAGTATCACATGTTATCTCCCATGTCCGAAGGTAATGAAATTCTTATATTTTAACGAAGGTAATGAAATTCTTATATTTTAACACTTGATAACATACACGCAATATATTTACAATATAAAAAACTTTCTTCTCCGTAATATGTAGTTTCTTAGCGATGGAAGTTACTAGTAAAGATTTTAATTATACGTCGATAGGTTTATTCAGTGGTGCTATACAGCAGAGTGGAACGATACTCAATCCGTGGGCGATAACTTACAATCCAAGAGAACAGGCCTTTATGTTGGGAGAGGCCCTTGGTATAAAAACGACAGACTCTGAGGAATTAGTTAAAAAATTGAGCGAGTTCCACGCCGAAGATATCATCGCCGCCACTAATGAAATAACGAAACAGCAGGTGAAGTATCTGGCCAATAACGCAACGTCTTCATTTCATTTTTCCTTCTGTTTTTTTACAATTTAGCAATTACAATCGTGTTTCCTACATTTGAAAACGGGAAGGAAAAAGAATGATAGGAAATATTCGTTTAGACGTAATAGTAATTTAGTAACGACTTTTTCTTTAATTGTAAGATAAAAAGAGTTTTAAACAGAGATAAAAAATGTTCGATTATCATGTAATTGTAGAATACGTTAAATGGACACATGAATATATTCGTTCCATCTATCGAGGTCGACATGGGACAAGACATATTCCTTCCAACAGATCCTTGGACCCTGTTAAAATCTGAAAGGATCATGGACGTGCCTTTAATGTCTGGAATTGTTGTCGATGAATGTCTATTTATGGCGCAAGGTATATAATGTCCAAATTAACGTCAATTATAAATCCTAGTAAAAGTGATGATCTAAGAAAATATCTTTATATTTTAAAAGTATTTATAATAAAAGTATTTAAAAGTATTTATAATAAAATATAAATAATATATTTATCTTTCCTACTAAAGAATCTAAGAAGAAATTTGTTTCATCTTTCGGGCAATTATAAGCACACAGATATTATTTGAATTTTGCAGGTAGCATAGATGGGATCGAGATGTTGAATACAGAGCCAGAATTATTCCTGCCAAACGATTTGAATTTCACCGATATGAATGACATGAAGGAAGTTGGACAGTGTCTAAAGAAGTTCTACTTTGGCGACAACCAAGTGTCGAAGGACCACTTAAACGAATACACCAAGGTAATGACAAACTTCATCGACGAGATTCTTTCTTGATTATTAATTTTTAAATACACGCATATTTCATAGATGTTGAATGACATCTACTTTAACGCTGGGGAGTTTTTATCTCTCGATATCATGAAGAATCGAATTTCGTCTCCAATTTATGAGTATATATTCTCTTACGAAGGACCAATTGGTTTCATGAAGAATTTGTTCGGTATCACCAGTGGTAATGTATTTTTTCCCAGTTAATCATAAAACTTTCATCTTCTTTGAAAATATTTAATAATATTTAATAACTAATTTACTGTTGGACGCAGGAGTTGCTCATGGCGATGACGTAAGTTACTTGTTTTATTCCAATGCTTTTAAGAATTTACCAGAGCCAGGTTCCTCAGCAGAAAAAATGACAAATATCATGACCAAACTGTGGACGAATTTCGCGAAAGATCGGTTCGTAATATTTTTCTCTATTAATATTTTTAATTCAGTTACATTCTTGACGATTATTAGTAAGATGCGTTTTATGTCAAATATTAGAGATCCAACCTCGATATTAGATGGAGATATCACAGTGAAATGGGAACCAATGGGCAGTGAAAATAACTATCTTAACATTAATCAAGAATTAAAAATGGAAAAAGATCTAATGAAAGATCATCATGATTATTGGAAGATGAAATATAAAAATGCTATGCCATGAATTCTTTGATCTATACATACATGTATATCATGTATAAGTAGATAGATATCATTCCTAATGTTCGTTTAATATAATCAAAGATATAGTGATAATATTAACTATAATTTAATATAGAATATATAATATAATGTTATTGTAAAAACATACATTCGTTAATATCTCTGTTTACTTTCAACCTCCATTACATTACTCTCTTTAGCATTATAAAACTCTTCATTTTGACAATTGTTTTACGACGCTGTTCACATTTCTGTCCTTCTACGTCATTTTGTTTCACAACAAATCTGTAATCTAATATTTTTAAAATAAATCAATCCTTCCAAAGACTAGTAAAAATCAGTAATAATCTGTTATATCTAACGACCGACATGACTATATACGATCGATTTAAAAAGAAATGTAAAAATTATTTAAAATTGGGTAATTGACGCGTCAGTAGAAGTTCAGTAAAAGTCGTGAAGAATCGAGCAGAAAATAATCGAGCAGGGGACTCGCAAGAGTCGTGCCCATTGAAATGCATATACATATCTCTGTATGCTCCGAAACGTACGCTTCAACACAGCTTTAAACTCGCCATGTTAATCCAGGGAAGCCTCACCAACACGTTTAAATATCTCCGGGGCATATTATCAAACTACGCTTTCCTACTTTCCATTCACTGAACACACACCATTCTGTGTGTTCTTCTCGTCTCGCCTCGTTCTTAGCTATTGGTTCACCACTCGTATTCCTGTCCTGTGACTACCAGGGTCACATATGCTGTAGTAACGTTCGTTCCCTTGTTTGACCGTCCACGAATCAATCGCCTGGCTAAACCTACGATAGAGGCGTGCACGAGGGCATAAGTAGTTGAAGAATATTCGAATATTGGGACAGTAGGAATTGAAACATTTGTCAAACAATTTGTTAAATTCGTCGAGATAAAACACTTTAAGCGATGGCGTTAATTTCTGATAATAAAAAGAAAAAAAAAAAAAAATCGAAATTTTTGCAATTACAAAACTGAAGAGGGATCGTAAAGGAAAGAGAAAGAGACGAAGGAAAAGATAACAACGACGATAAGAAAAAGAAATAAGGAAGATTATAAAGGAAAAGGGATAAACAGGAAGAAGAGAACAACGATAAGGAAGAAATAAAAGGAAGTGAGGGAGGAAAGAAGGCGATGAAAGAGAATGATGGTAAACAGGAAGGGGAGCCACAATGAAGGGAGGGAATGATAAATGGGAAGCAGAGCGATAATACGCAAGAGCAAGTTGCGGTAGACGAACGATAACGAGACAGAAGAGATACATCGTCGATGATAGGTGATGAAAAGAGAAAGGATGATAAACGAGGATATATCTCTGTGAAATGACCGGATGCTATTCGCTTTCTTAGTCTACCACGTTGCCGTCGTTCGTCTACCATTTGTTCACCACTCACTTTTGTGCTTCGCTTGTGCCAGGAGCGCAGCAAAGCGAGGAGATCAAACCTCAGGCGAGCAGGCCGGTGTACATGGTCGTGTACGCGTGTGTGTAGCGTAGCGTAAGCGTTCTCATTCATTCATGCGTCACACGAGTTCACGAGTCATTGTTTGGCGAAGAACGTGTGAAGCGAGAATCGATTACGAACGTTAGTCGTGTCTTTCTTAACGAGGAATTATTTAGCAAATTACAAGTAACTTTAAGTTATTTGAATTTGCCTAAATGCAAGAGGTAACAAATTTCATTATGTAAGACATTAGAAGTATTTGGTATTTTATTTAGTATAATTTGTATCATCTTTCCTATCTTAAATTCAAATTTCTATTAAAACAATTACTGAAAGAATATCTTAAAATCGTTGTTTCATTGTTGATTAAGCTATTCTGTTTCAAATAATATTACCAATTAAATTGAATTAAAATATGTAAAATATGTAATATGATATATGATATAAAATATAAAATATAGAGGATGTAGAATTTCTGCATTTTTATCGTGAAAAATATAATTATTTGGAAAACTAGGATAACAAGTTATTATATATACTAGTTGCGTTGGCAATTTATACTATTATCCGTCAGTATGTTTTAATATTTTATATTGCAAAGATAGGTTGATTTTCTAAGGAGATAGAGAGCAGAACGAGAATGAAACGTGTTCAGATACTTAAATTTACGCGCCGCGCAGTCTTATCGCAAAAGTCATTCGATTTTATCGAGGGATGTAGAGCAATCGAATGACCTCGAGCGTGCGAGAACAGAGATGATCGAGATGCTGCGACAGTGGACCATTTCTCGAGATGATCTTCAACATCTCTTGATCCGGCTGTCATGCAGAGACAGCTGGTATTTATTTCATCTTGCACGATCTCTGGACCAGTTTGATTGCTCGAGTTA